CCCCCCCCCCAAACGATTTCTGTGCCAAGATGAAAAGGAGGCCCCAGGCCAGGGTGGGGGCTCCTTGCCGTGAGGGGCTGCTGCAGCGGCGCCAGGGCAGGGCGGGCGAGACGCGGCAGAGGTCCTGGCAGAGCGGCCCAGGTCCCCGGTGCCTCCTCCCACAGGCCGTGCTACTTATTCAGGGACAGCGACTGCACTCGCTTTCCCGACAAGGTCGCGTCGTCTTTTGCTGAGGGCAGGAAGGGAAGGGTTGGTGTTAACACGAGACCCCCCTCCCTGCGCACACCCCCACGCACCCCAGAAGCACTGCCCTGGAGGGCCGAGGGACCTCAGAACACATTCTGGGCAACAGACTCAGCTGGCAGAGGGGGAACAGACCAGGAAGGATTCCCGCAGGAGCCACTGTCCAGACATTCTTGCCAAGTTTGGGTGGCTGCCCCTGACACAGGGCCCCCAACACTCAAGCTACCGGCAAAGGGAAACTTCTTACCCCACCCAGAGGCAGAACCCCGTAATTACAGCCTCTTTTGTGGGGGCCGAAACCTCCAGTCAGCAACACCTGAAGTTCCTCCCCTGCCTGGGCTTTGTGAAGCAAGAGCAGGGAGCCGGGACAGCAGGCTACCTCCAGTGTGGTGACAACCCTGGGGCAACTTATTTCCAGACCTAGGCCTCAGTTTCCCCATGATCTGGTGAGGAGGCAGGACAGCATGCTGGTCCCTAAGGGCTCTTGTGGCCCCACATGAGACCAGGTCCTGAGTCAAATGCTCCTGTAAACCAGACCAACTCCCCACAGCTATCCTGGCCTAGGAAAAGGCTCCACCTCTGACCCCATTGGGAGGGAGGGCATGAGGGAAGAGGGACAGTTGGGCCAGATTTCACCTGGGTCTGGACCGTGAAGTCTGGTCCAGCCCAGCCCTGCCGCACCCTCTCAAGCCCCTCAGATGGACGGTGGTTCTCCGAGGTAGCTTTCCCAGCCACACAAGGCACCGGATAATTTAGTGGAACCTTCCAGCCTTGAAGGTCTGCCCTAGGTACATCCCTGCGGCTTCCCTCAGATGCTGTAGACAGTGCTCTGCTTAGATCCAAACCCTCATCTGACTTCCAGCTGCTGCTGAGCCCTCCCAACACCCCAGAAGGTTCGGGCAGAAACGCCCACCTCCACTGATGAGAAAGTAAGTGCATTTACACACAGGCTGGCCCTCCACCCAACAACCCAACCCCATCCCATTTCACAAGGACACTGAAGCGCAGGGTTTAGCGGCTTTCCCAGAAACCGTCAGGCAGTCACACCAGCAGCTCAGGACTTACCTTTCCTCTCCTCTTCTTTCTTCCTGGCAGCCTCTTCCCGCTGTTTCCGAATGATTGCCAGCCGGGCAAGGTCAGCTTTGGCTTGCTCTGTCTTCCCAGCTAAATGCATTTTCATGTAACGCTCTTTTGCTTTCTGCTTCTCGATTTCTTCTCTGTTTGGATAAAATGGTGTCATAAGGGACATCTTCCCCACGAGCTAGATGTGGGAGCCAGAATAAAAGCCAAGTACTTGGGCCCGGAGCCCAAGTGGAGGAGGGTGCCCTTGCTCTGTGTGCCCCCTCCCTGATGGACACTCACCAAACAAACAAGCAAAGGGACAGGCCTGGACTTCTCAGCGGGCTGGAGGAAGTTCAAGCAGTGTACCAGCTTCCTCAGACACGTAACATAGGATGGGGGTGAACTCAGCACACGGTGAACAATGTCTGCATTGGCCGGCGGGGGGATGCTGACTAGGGTCTGGTGTCCCCGGTAAGAAGGGGGAGCAAAACCAGTGGACTGTGTATCAAGAGATGAGCAAGAGGAGGAAGACACTGGGAACCACATTCTACGAGGGGCAGAGAAGGGAGTGGCCACAGATGGGAACCACACCCACCCAATCTCAGGTCCGCAGGACATGGCACATTCTCAATTAGAGCAGCTCAGATGTGTAAGAGGCTGCCTTCAAAGTGGTGAGCCCCCACCAAGGAGGGTGTGGGCCTAAGAGCTCTACTCCCACAGGACAAAGGTGTCAGTCACCAACCCACTAGGTAGAGAGGTGATGGTCACTCCCTCTCATTAAGTCTTCCCTCTGAGATCCTCCTCCCAGGCCTGAGATTCTCGAGTGAAGCGTGCACTTTCCACTGAGATATTAGATTGTCCCACTTATACCAGAATCCTGGACGAGCCAAGTATTGGAGGAGGGGACAGGGAAGCCCTAACAGGAGCATGGGAAAGGGACTTGGCCTCCCAGAGGCCCTGACAGCACACCGCGCTGGGTGATAAGAAACAAGGCATGGGGCCTGGCCAGAGGGGAGGAGAGCCAGCCACCAAAAGTCAGCTGAGCAGACGTTTCGCCCAGGAGACTCTCAGTAAGACATGTGCAATAGAGAGGAGACTGGAACACCTGTCAGCCCAGCAGATCCTACCCTGGGAGGCAGGTGCAGGGTCAGCAGCCTCTGAGCTAGCAGCAGAGATCCAAACCAGGGGTGGGGGGTGGGGAGGGGGGTTCCCTGGAGGCATCTGGAACAATGAGCAAGACTACCAGAAGCTCTGCAAGGTCCTCTGGGTGAAGGCTCGGGGCCAGGCAGGATGCCGGCCTTCATGGCTTTCACCCTGCAGCCTCAAAGGGTGGGGGTAACAACAAGATCCTCTTCTTACTGGTGAGAAGGAAGCTACTGGAGGAGTAGAATCCTTAGCAGCCTCTCATCACACCCCGAACTTGTGAGCCTTTTCATAAAACCCTCAGCCGTTATGGGGTTAGCACAGGAAGGCGGATTTAAATCTCAGCAGCCCAGGAAGGGAAAAACAAAACAAAACAAAACAGGACAGCTTTCCCTAGTGGCCTTCAACCTCTTATAAGGTCCCTGCTGTCAGCTGGTGGCCACTGAAAGTCCAGGCACTACCTGTCAAGGAATGGCCATGTGCAGGGCACTTCAGCACTCAATTGAGACCCTCATATAATCGCAAAGAGAAGGCTGTCTGCAGCTCCGTTTCCACCTGGGACTTAGGGAGCACTGGGGCAGCCAGCAGACCTCTCTGTACTGTGCTGTCTGCACCGTGAACCTCTGGGTTCTCCCAACCCCCACGGCAATGACATCAAAGAATGCAGGCCAAGAATGGTCAGACTGGGCTGGGTAAGGAACTGTCCCCAGAGTGGGGTGCTGTGGAGGAAGAGACTGTACCATAACCCTCCATTTCCTTGGGCATTACTTCAAGTGTGACGCTCAGGTCTAAAACTGTTGTTCTATTTTCCCTGTTGTGTTCCTACTGGTGAAAAATTATTTGTTTGGTGTTTCTGGAAAAGCTTCTATAGAGCCTTTGAAGAATGAGATAAACAAAAAAAACAGATACTGTAGCTAGAGCCCTCACCCAGTTGCTGGGAACCCCAGGGCCCAGGAGGCAAGGGTAGGGGAACTGGGTGCCTCAGCCACTCCTCCCACCCCACCACGAAGGTCAGCCCCCTGCCCACGTGCCCAGGTCACAAGGCCCAGTAGCAGAGGTTACCGTTCTCTCCTTGAAAGCTCCTTGGGCCCATCCAGGTCCAGTTGTGTGACCTTTTTGGTTGTCTGTGCCACCCTGTTAGGGTTCTCAATGTCGATGAGCCCTTCCACGCCTTTGCGCTTTTGCTAAGGTAAGACAAGAAGCTGGCTGTTGGAAAAGTCCGTCCAGCAGAGCCCCTGAGGGCCATGCCCACCATCTCCCAACAGCCCCCCTGGGCAGGGACAAACTTCTGCTCCACCCCCGGACAACATGATGCTCGGCCCAAGCCTCACAGTGGGAACAGCACCTCGGGGTGTCTTCACCAGCCCAGGAGGTACAAGGACAGCAAGTGCATGTGACTGGAGCCCAACCTATGCCAAGTCCCAGCAACCGGAGGTTATTGTCTCAGATTCACAGGTGACAGAACAGAGGCACAGGACTAAACAACTTGCCTAAGGCCAACCAGGAAGCAGACCGATGAGCTGAGAACCCAAGCCCAACTCACAAGCTCTCAACACAGAGCACTACGCCCCTACTTCAGGCTCAGCCTCTGGAAGCTCACGTCTGACTGCAACAACCACTGCTGGGTCCCCAGGGCAGGCCACACTAAGGATGTTCTCAGGACCAATTCCAATTCCTACCCATCTCAGCTCATGGGAGGGAAATGTGACATGAGAAGGAGCCATGGGATCGCAGTCTACGGGTTTAGGGAGTCTGCACCTCCCACCTCCCCTGGGAGATGTTCAACAGGAGCACGAGTCCCCAGTATAGCAGGCTGGGCCCAAGTCTCAGGTGCTGTTGACCACAGCTTTTCTCTTTAAGTGACCAGGGAAACAGGTTCCAAATACTAGCCAATCTGACGCAGAGCTCCAGACAACAACAGCCATTTGAGCTACCTGTAAACACATCCACTTGTATGTTCATGTCACAAGCGAATGTGCCTAAATGGAACTCGAGACTCACCCCTCGCCTACCCTGCTCCTTCCGACCATCCTTATGCCATAGCCTCATGCCTCCTTCCCTCAGTCCCTGGACCCACCCTTCAGCAAACCCAAAAACACAGCGTGAACCTGCCCCCTCTTCCCCCATTGGCCCAGCCACAATCTCTTGTCTGGTGACCTGCTGCCATTTCCCTGCTTACATCCTCTACAATTTACTCTTTGCAGAGAAGCCACAACCACCTTTTAAAAGCAAATCTGGGGCGCCTGGGTGGCGCAGTCGGTTAGGCGTCCGACTTCAGCCAGGTCATGATCTCGCAGTCCGTGAGTTCGAGCCCCGCGTCAGGCTCTGGGCTGATGGCTCAGAGCCTGGAGCCTGTTTCCGATTCTGTGTCTCCCTCTCTCTCTGCCCCTCCCCCGTTCATGCTCTGTCTCTCTCTGTCCCAAAAAAAAAATAAATAAACGTTGAAAAAAAAAATTTAAAAAAATAAATAAATAAAAGCAAATCTGGTCATCACTCTCCGCCACTTCAAGGCCTCCACCAGCTGCCCACTACCCGCAACGGTGAAACTCAAACCCTTCAACTGCCACTCAGGAGCTGCCCTGGCCAACCTCTCCTCCCGCATCCCTAGCCACTCTACCCCTTACCCACCTAGGCACATGCCCACCAGCCTCCTGCTGTCCTGTCCGACCCCGGAGCCCCTGCACTTGCCAATCCGGCCACCCTGACGGCTCTGCACGTTGGTTTTTCACACACCGGGCTCCAGCCTGTTTTTCAGATCTCAGTTTAAAAGTCACCCTCCTCACCACACACTGCTTCAAGTACCCATATCAGTCCATCTTACTCATAATACTTGCTGCTACTTGAAATCATAACATTTGTTCACATCCTCATTGTCTGTACCTTGCTATTAAAACATAACCCCTTAAGATTGAAGACTCTGTCTGCATCCACCATTGGGAATGGTGACCAACAAGCACTTAATAGATGTTTGTTGAATGAATGAGTCCAAGTCCCAGGCCTCCACCAAACTCAGCACCTGGTAATCATCTTCTTCATCTTCACTCTCATCTGAGTCTAGGGATTTCTTCTCCTTTTTGGGGTCCCCCGCAGCCCCATCTCCACCTTCTTCTCCTTGTTCCTCTTCTTCCTGTTTCAGAAATGGACAACCTGCAAAATCAAAAATGCACAAACCCCCTAGACTGTGAACCCTGCTCCCACCACCTCCAGACTGTGGACCCCGAGGAATTAAACCCCCACAAGGCTGGGACCAAGTATGACAAGGGTCCTACTCTGTAACCCCGGCCCCTGGTAGGGGACCTGGGTCAGAGGCAGCCTATATATTTGGCTCCACAGCCTGGAAGCCATTCCCACACTCCAGCCTGGTGAGAAGTTCATCTCTCAGGGTCAGAAGGACTCGGCTGTGGGGCGGGGAACCTCAGTCCCGCTCAGCCCCCCTCCTGCTTCCCCAGCTGCCACATGCAGCTGTCAAACTGTACTGTTTTCCTGGGCAAGTCCTCCCGTGTCCCACTCCCACGGTGGAAATGGAGGGCCAGTCACTCGAGCCTGCCTCTACAGATGCCCTGCTGCGCTGACTTCCCGGGACAACACTCAACATGCCACTTCCCTCCACCTTTCTTGCTTCCCCACCAAAAACATTCCTAACAAAGCCAGTACATCCTTCCCCCTACCACTTGCCCACATACTCTCCAAGGTCCCACTTAGCTGGCAGCTCCTCCATCCAGCCCTCTGCCCCCTCCTCCATTCAAATGCAGCCCCTCCCTTCTAGGGGCTCCCAGGCCCTTCACAGCGGTGTCACCCATCCAGCCTGACTGTGCTCTTTTCGGCCCTTATTCAGGCGAGGATCTAATGGTGTGGTCAGGGATGTGGACATTGATGAGGATAGAAATATTCCACTTCCTGACAGTAGGCTGGAAAAAACACCGCAGGAACAGAGTGGAGGGAACTGCTAAGCTTGGACCAGAGGGGGCAGGGTGAAGAGCATCAGTGAGAATCATAGAGGAGATGACTCTGAGCAAGGTCTGGAGGAACAAAGGGTGCTCTGCCTGCTGGGGGTGAGGGGAGGCAGGGCACTATGTTGTGCTGGGTGTGGCATGGCTCTAGCAGACAGATGGGGAGTGCGGGAAGTTTGAGCTATGGATGGGCAGGGCCTGGCAAAACGACAGCTCCCAGAAAGCAGGACACAGGACCAAGAAGAGACACCCACTAAGGCGACCATCGCTAAAAGAACAAAGTTCTAATTGGTTCAATCAGAAGATACCTCTCCTCTTCACTGTCGCTGGTTGTTCAGGGACACCTGCCTGCTGCCCGTGCCCTCCCCCCCCCCCTCAGGTGCTGGCTTCTGCCTAGGAATTGGTGGTCCCTGCCTGGCCTCTCTGGATGACAAAGAGGCAGGGCACCGCCCTAGGCCACTGGAGTGGCTGGCACAGGCACGTACTCACCCTGGCCTTCTGCTTCTCAGCCTGGAGCTGCGCGTCGATCTCCTCAGGGCTTGTGTACTGCCGTGCCCGGCCTTTGTGGCCTCCCTTTCTCCCTGCACGAGGATCGGCAGCTTAGGAGGTGGGAGGTAATCAGCTTCCCTGATTGCCCTGAGCCCCAAAGGGCTGTGTCCTGCTTGAGGTGCTGTCATCAGAGGCTGCAGAGACCTCCCCTACCCCTCACCAAGCACCACCCAAACCTATTCTCCTCCCTTCACACATCCAAAGGGACAAAAGAGGCAACATGCGACCACCTGATGCAGCACCAAACTACGTGCTAGACATAGGTTCCTACAGATAAGACCTGAGAGGAGGATGTGGGAGAGGGCACACTGCATGTAATAACTGGCTAAGTCCCATGGTGCCTTAGAATCCAAACTCAGGTCAAAATGCAGTAAGAACATTTAACACTACAGTCCTTTTTACTTGCAAAAGTTCTGGCACAACCATAGACCCTCTTGAGCCAGGACAATGGACTGACCCCTGCTCTGCTGGTTCTGGAGGATGCTGACGTAGTTGTGGCCTGAATCTAGCCCCACCTTTGAGCCCATATGTGGAGAATCATGGCTGATCCCATTCTAAAGACAAGACACTAAAGATAGAAACCGAATGATGAAGAGCACGAATGCTGGAGTCTGACCCTCAGGCTCAAATCTCAGCTCTACCACTTACTAGCTTTGGGAGGGTACCTGACCTCTCAGTCTCAGTGTCTTCAGCTGTGTCCCTACCTCCTGGAATTGTCATGGGAATGAATTTGTTAACACATGTAAAACTGTTGGAACAGTGCCTGAGATCGGATTAAGCACTACAAAAACGTATGCTATGTTTGCTAATTTTCTAATAAGGTATTTTGGCAGGAGATAAAAAACAAAGACACTGACCACATTAGTGATTCCCTATAAAAGTCAGGGAATATGGGACACCTGGGTGGCTCAGTCGGTTAAGCGTCCGACTCGGTTTCGGCTCAGGTCGTGATCTCATGGATTGTGGGCTCAAGCCCCACATTGGGCTCTGTGCTGACATGGCAGAGCCTGCCTGGGATTCTCTCTTTCCCTCTGTCCCTTCCCCTATTGTGCTATTTCAAAATAAATAAACATTAAAAAAAAAAAAAGGTCAGGGGATGTAATAAAACACTTTTTGTTCACCTGAGCATTATACTATAAGGAAAAAAACCCAAACCTATTGGAAACTTTCTTGCATGCGGAATAAGAAACATAGCTGGCAAAGTTAAAGTTGAAAATAAAGCTGACTCCCTTCTAACAGTTAAAAGTGTGATTAGCAATTAAAGTTCATCTAAGAGTATCAGTCTGAGCCTCTTGAGCTAGGACAATAGACTGACCCCTGCCCTGCTGGTCCTGGAAGACGCTGGGATGGTTGTGGCCTCAATCCATCCCCACCTCTTCTGGAAGCTTCGGCCCAGCTGATTTCTAGTGAGTCTGAGTGCAGAGAATCTGTAATTAGACAGCCACAGCTTCTCTGGACTCAAGAGACAGTAGCAGAGATACCAACCTCCTCTTATTTCCTAGACAGCAGCTGCAAAGCCATAATTGGGCTGCTACAGATCACACCACCCATTTTTAATGACTACCTGGGTTCCCGGGGGGGGGGGGGGGGGGTGTCTCAGTCTACGCTCATCCAAGTCCTATTGTGAGAGATCAAGCTTGCCAGTTAAAAAAAAAAAACCAACAAGCTTTCCAGGCCTCTCAATATTCCAGGCAGTAGTAACAACTCAAAACTGGCTACTACACGCTGTCATTCCGCACACTTGGCTAGGGGATATGGACCTTAGTTCAGACTACAATAACTTTTACCAGCATGCCTTTGAAAATGCTTTACAGTTACTAACGGAAACAAGAGTTCATTCTTTTCTCTTGGATAATTTTATACTTAAAAAAAAATATTGTTTTCTTTTGCTTTTCAAGCAAATAAACCCAAGCAAAATAGGTAAATCTTATCTGCTCATAAAGCTTTTCACAAGCCAAAGGCCAAGTCATTTAACCAAGAATTCATATTTAGGATTCTGTAACCTCCAACTTTGACTCAAACTATCTATGAAGTAGGACACTTAGGGCCAGAATTCTGGAACCAGAAGGGTTCAGATGGCACCCTCATTTTGCACAACAGAAGGCTGTGGAAAATGGAAGACACCTGGCTCTTCCTACCAGGCTAAATCAACAGAGAGGTAGGTTTAAATGGATTCGATTCTGTAAGCCCCAATATCTCTGCAAGTAGAGAGTCAGGAAGTCATTTAGGTTTGAAAAAGCTCCAAGTAGATTTCCTGTGGGCTAAAGCATCTTAACCAACATAACACTTGAGCTACCACTATTAACCGAACATCTGTTCTGGGCCAGAAGTTAGCCAGGCACTTTGAGTGCTCCATTATTTTATGACCTCTATCTCCAGCTCTCCAAGCTAAGGGTTATCAGCCAGGTGTTCCAGATGACAAAAATGGGCAGGAATTAAATAATTTGTTTTAGGCCACAGAGTTGGGCAGTGACACAGCTAGACTTGAAATCAAGAACTACGGACTCTTAGGGGAAAGAGAAAGGACTGTCTACGATGCACTGGGAAGCCACGCATCTTCTATCCTCTTGGCCAAGAAATTGACGAAACCGTATAAATAATGCTTAGCGAGCGCTTGACTGCCTGGAGCTGTGCTGCGCACTCCACGTGGATCACCTGGTGGTGTAAGCCTCACACCACTACTATGAGGTAGGTACAATCAAAAGCCCCTTGCAAATGAGAAAACTGAGACACAGGGAGGTTAAGCGACTGGCTCAGAGACACACATAGAGCCGCTGCCGAATAGGGACATTCAAAGCCAGTCAGCCAGCTAGCCTCGCTCGCCCAGAGTTAGGTCTCATTAGGCAGGCCTCGCTCGCCCGGAGCTCGAGAGGCCCCACGTTTTACGCGCAAGGCAGACGGGCTCGGCACAGGCGCGGGACGCGGTGACTCAGTCCCCGCGAGCCTGGAAGAGGGAGTAAACTCCAGGTCCCTCAGGCCAAGAGAAGCGCGCCCCAGATCAGGCCTTCGGCGTCGGCGAGGGGCCGGAGCCTTGGGTCTCCTCAGACCCCCGAAGGAGTGGCTCGTAGCCACTCCGGTCCTCAGTTTCTCCATCGGGACAATTGGGCGCCGAGGCCCAGGCCTGGCCCTCAGCCGGCGCGGACGTCCTCCCTCGGCGCCGCTCTCCGAGACACCCGCGGGCAGAATGAACAGCGGGAGCCGGACTCGGGCAGCCCCTCGAGGCCCGCAGGCCACGCGCGCTTGGCCCTCACCTCCTTTAGGCATCGCGGATCCGGCGGCTGCGGCAGCGGCGGCGGCGCCTCGAACTGACACCGGAACCGGAAATATCTCGGGCTCAACTTCTTCCGCCCGGCCCAGTACCCTCCGCGCGCCGCCGCCGCCGCCGCCTCCTAGAGGACCGGGGACTTCAAGGAGGCCGGAGCACGAAGACTGTCCCGCGAGCCGCCTGAGTCCAGGCTCGCCCGCGCGCTGCCCAGGCAACAGCGCCCCCAGTCCCTCAGCCCCCGGGGAGACGCGTGAGCCTGCCGGTCTCCCCCGGGGAAGTGACGGCAAAAGGCAACAGCGGGCTGGAATTTATACAGGCGGAGCTGCAGACACCTAAAATGACGCAATCTCAGCGCGAGAAAGGGAGGGGATCCGCGAGGACCTCATCCTGGAGAGATTGCCTGGGAAGCGGAAGCCGTCGATAAAGAGGCGGCTGACGGCGACGGTGGTTCAGGTGAGTGCTTTTCCTGTGTTCTCTAGTACCTTGGTGACCGCTAAGGCCAGGAATCGGAGGTCTGCACTGGCCCAGAGGCGGTGGGAGCGGTTGGCTTGGGACGGGTGCGGGCTTCTGGAGCTGGAGGTCAGAGTGAGTTCCCGAGAAGAGTCGGCGCCTGGTTCGTTCTGCCCAGGGAATGGGTTTAGGGGTTCTCTTGCTTCTAGGTTCCCACTCCTCCCACTGTTTTCTCTCCCGAAAATGTTTTCTGTCTAAATGCTGTTTGTTCTTGTAAGCTCGGCCCAGATGTCCTCTCAATGAGCCTTTTGTACAGTCGCGACTGTAATGTTTTCCCTCCCTAGCTCCGAATGCCTTTCCACGCTCTTCTTACGAGCGCTGCCACCTCTTACACCACCCGACACCCCTTGATCTAATTGCTTCCTACCGGTTTTCTATTGTGGGTTGTCCTCTGACCTCCAGATGAGCCAGGGCTCTCGAATTTCCCTGGGTCATAGCAAATTGGTGTCCCGTATCTTTGTTCTTCCAGCCGGGCGCGCTTGGGCAGGGTCCAGATTCTGACCATCTCTAGCTTCAGAGCAGGGAAGATACGTCCAAAGACCACTGATTTGGGAGTCAGGAGCCCCCCCCCCCATCCGAGTCATACTTTGCCAGTTTTCATCTGTGTGACTCTGACTTTACCTGCAGAAGTTTCATTTCTCATCCGTAAGGTTGTTAGTGGAGGATTAAGGAAAGGAGGCTGGGGGGAGTGGACATTGTAAACTGTCAGGCACCCCACAGAAGGGAGGGACCGATGAGTTTGGGGGATAGGAGTTTGCTATGCTGCACAGTAGGAGGTAATTAACTTGAATTTGCTTTGCCACCTAGAAATGCCTTGTGGCTTGAAAAATGTGGTTGTTTAGATTTGGACTGGCTAATTGTGTGGACTTTATATAACTTGCCTTTATGTAATACTTTGTTGGATTTGAAGATTCTTTGGGGGTGCCTGGATGGCATGGGATGGAGCCTGTGTTGGGCTCCGTGCTGAGCTCCTACTTAAGATTCTTTCTCCCTCTCTGCCCTGTTTGTGTGCTCTCTCTCTTAAAAAACAAACAAATGAACAAAAACTCCTTGGCAATCAAGCTAATTCACTGCTCTCATTTTACAGATAAGACTGAAGACCAGAAAGGGAATGTGACCTCCCCCAAAGTTACAGTAATTGGTAGAGCTGGACAAGAACTTGAGTTTGTAACTGAAGAGATCAGAGATCTTTCTGTTACACTCTTGGGAAGCAGACCCTGAGGTACTTTGACTTGACAGCATCTTTTTCCCTTTTAAACGCTCATTCCCTTGTCTCTCCCAACCATAGTCCTTCCCACACTATGTTGTAATTGCCTTGTCACTTTCTATCTCCTTGCTAGAATGTCACCTTCTCAACTATAGAAATTGTGTCTTACTCTTTGTTCTGTGTTCCCAATATCCAGTACAGGGCCAGGCTCATAGGTGATGTTAATGATAACACCAAAAAGTCTATTAAACACATTTAATGTAGGCATGTTGCATATAACTACAGTTAAATCTTCACAATGGTCCTATAGGTAGATTATATTGTCCCCGTTTTACAGATGAAGAAACAGAGTAAGGGAAGTGAATGTGCACCAAAATGGTGGCTAGTGAAGGCCTTTGGGGATCTCAGGTTCAGAAACCAATCCATTTAATTTTCCTCCCCCAGATCTTTGCAAATTATCTTGTGGGAAACATGCCTAAAGTCAAAAGAAGCCGGAAAGCTCCCCCAGATGGTTGGGAGTTGATCGAGCCGACACTGGATGAATTAGATCAAAAGATGAGAGAAGGTGAGTGGGGGAGTTCATGACTGGGTGAGGTGTGTCTAAGGGTCACAGGCTTAGATGACCCCCCAGGGGCCAGGCATAAATGCAAGTATCAGTGGGAAGAGACAGGCAGCGCCACTATGGCCTCCTGACACTGACGTGTTTTGTTTGCTTATTAACTCAGGAATGTTCTATGTCCTGGAAAATAGGATGGCACCAATGAAAAGGTCCTCAAAGCCATTTTGGGGCCAACTAGATATGAAAGCTTTAGAGAATAAAGATCGAATAGCAGACCTATAATTAGTTACTATTTTGGTTAGGTACATATTTAGAATTTTACAAAATATGTTTACTTGGAAAATCCTGTCCTTTTTCATTTTCACATTTTCTGAAACAGTTTTATTATTTTTCTTAATAAAAATATTGGGTCTTTGACACTGGTTTCATCATCACTTTGTTTCTGCATTATACACTAGTTTTTTACAATGTACGTTCCCAAAAAATGTCGATGATCCTGAACTTTGTGAATCATGTAGTATGATTTTAGAAAATTTATCCGAAACCATGAGCCTTATATCTTATATGATCACAGTGTAACTACTTACTAAATTGCTTTTTAAAGTGGTCCTTTCTTTAAAGCTTTTTGGTAACTAACCCTTGTTATGAGGTCATACCTCCAGCAATAATTATTAAATCATTGTTAAGTCACATTGCCTTTTTTCCCCAAAACTGATTGTATCAGATAACTTCTGTTAAATACCTAGAACTTCCAGTAATCAAGGTCATTTTTGGCTGAGAGATTTCTTCCCCAAACCGATCTCTATTCAAAATAAAGGAACCTGGAGAGCGCTATAATAGAAAAGATTTTGTGAGTCCTTGAAAATTGTCTCCAAAAGAAATATTCTCTTCCATTTTTGTTTAATCATATAGGCCATCAGCATTTCTTCGCTTTCCCATTTTTTGATAAACTCACAGGTGTAAGACCTGTTTCATGTTGTCCTTCCTTCCATTATGAAGAAAACAGTGGATGGCAGGTGGCACCAGACTTGGCTTTAGTGTTGGGAACAATAGGAAACTCTGAGGATGTGGCAGACTGGACAGGGGCAGGAGCTGCTATTCACCCGAAGCCCATTTTACCTTGGGATCCAGGCTAAGTTTTGCCAAATTTTCTGGGGGGGGGGGGGGGGGGGGGGATTCCCCAAGAGAAGCCAGAAATCCAGCTGTTTTATGTCAACTGGTTTTTTTTTCTCCAGGTTTATTTTGAGAGAGCGAGAATGAGCGGGGGAGGGGCAGAGAGGGAATCCCAAGCAGGCTCTGTGTGAGAGCACAGAGCCTGATGCAGGGCTCAGTCTCCTAAATCGTGAGATCATGACCTGAGCCGAGACCAAGAGTCAGATGCCTGACCAGCTGAGCCACCCAGGTGCCCCCATGTGAACTCTTCTAATTTAAAATTCAAACTTAAAAAAACAAGATTCCGACTCTTGATTTTGGCTCAGGTCATGCTCCCAGGGTCATGGGATTGAGCCCCACGTTGGGTTCCATGCTATATGGAGCCTGCTTAAGATTCTCTCTCCCCTGCTCACACTTTAGCAACAACAGCAACAAAAAACCGCAGGTATTTGTGAAAGGAGCCAAACAAAGCCTGCCTTCAGGCTGGCTGGGGCTGCTGGTTTCTCGTTTGTAGTCTCTAGCACAACTTTTGCCTGTGGTATCTGTAGCCACACTCCTAGACATGGGGGACCCTTGTGTGGCTTTTGGCACAGAGGAGCCCAAAGCCAGTGGCATTACCAGGCCTGTCCTGAACTGAGGGCCACTTACAGGACAACTCACACTTACTGAAGCAGATGGAGAGTTCCCGCTTTCTCTTATAGTTTGTCCCCAGTGTTTGCTAGCTTGACTCTTGACCCTGCCTGGCTCTTTATGTGTCTGTTAGGTCATACTCAAGTTTTTGTACAGCTGCTATGGCCCTGGAGGTCCCCAAAGAGCCTGATTATAGCAACTGAGGGGCAGAGATGGGGGAAACTGTGGCAGGGGAGTTTGGTGGGTAACTCAGAAATAAAGGCACTATTTCTGTGGACTATAACCAGGACTTGTAAATAACTGCTTTTATAAGGACCTTAAACTAGTTGAAAATAAGCATAAACACTTGCATAATGAACCCTTAGCTAGATTTTTAAACAATAACATTTTAAAAGAATTGTTGCCAAGGTTTTGAAGTTAACGGGCAGTTGCTTTTGAAGTTTTTGGCATCAGCAAAGTGGCAAAAAGCTGCATCTAGTTTGCGCCACGATGCCCCTACCCCCGGCCTTTCTTCCTGCCCTATCCTCCTAGGGGCAGGACTCTGCATCGGCCACCAGAAACGGCGTTCCACTTTGTGTGTGGACCTGTACAAAACAACATCCAAGAATGTGCACGTGGTTTTGGGAAAATGGGTCCAAACGGGACTTTAAAAATGGGAGTGCTGCTATGATTAAAAGACTGAAAAATGACCAAAGCTCGGGGAGGGAGGCTCTGCTTCCAGCTGCAGCCTAGGCAGCAGTGTGCCCTTCCCTCAGTGGCTTATCCGGATGCATGGCTTTCCACACTCTGCCCAGGTGACCACATCTTCTCCAGCCGTGACTCAAAACTAGACTCTATATACCAGCTGCCTATGGAGTGGCCCCATTTGGATATCTCAAACTTAACCATGTCCAGAACTGAACCATTCATCCACCCCAGAGCTGCTTCCGTTCTGAGGCCACAACCACGGACCCATCCTGGACTCTTCTCATTCTTTCTTCCTAT